AGCTAGACATTTTTCACCATTCTATTCTATCTAAAACAATTCCAGATACATAATAGGTACTTAATAAGTATTTGTTGAATTATAATTAGGAATCAATTTTCACATAAAAGAGAAATACAGTGAGACTATTATTTCACATGACATCATGGCAATACCAGAACTCCAATTTTATCTTTTACAGTGGACTTTCTCTTATAATTTTTAATCATTTACAAACCAAGAGAAGAAGTTCTTCATTTAAGAAGTGTCCATCAGAATCACTAATCATTTATGTCGCCTTAATAGTTATAAATCTTCTAGAACCTCTGTACATTATTGATGGCAAAAGCCTAATCAAGAATTTAAATCCAGACTTTAATCAATATCAATAAATTCACATATGTCCTATATCTTCAATCATGTTTATTATACTGATTTGTCTTAATGATGAGTGACATATTTTCAATAAGAGGAAGTAAAGTTTTCTAATATAAATTCATTTCATTTAAGATTTTGGTCTCAAGCATTACCTGGAACCAACATGCTTACCTCCTTATATTCCTTATATTACTATGAAGTGGTTAAACGTATATCCACAGTACTAGATTCCATTATATTCCACTCAAATTCTTGACATATAATTAAATGTAAGGGAAACTTTGTGGCAGGAAACAGTATTTAAAACCATTTAATTTCATAAATATTTCATGGTACAAGGCACTGTGCCAGGTGCTGCAGGGGATTCGACGAAGAGTAAAGTGCAGCACCTGCTCTCAACGCACAGCCCTCAGAAGCACTGCTTTGGGAGATAAAGGACATCATTGAACAAAGAATTTCATTTGGGTTATCCAATCAACTGAAAACACCAAGTTTGATTTAAAAGCTATGTATCTGATGACAGAACCTTGTAACAGCCAAAGGTTAAGTGTAGCTTGACACCCATAATTTACCAACTGAAATTATCTTGTCTTTTTATATTTTCTTTCAAATAACTTCAGGGGAATAATATCTGGCTTGGGTTTAGACCCTGGCTAACTCTGAAAATTGTTCTGCAGCATTTATAAATTATTCTAATGTTATTTTTCTACCTTATGTTATCCAAGAGAGATGGCAATATAAATATAACCAAGTAAAGTCAATTTATTCAAGAAGACTTGATCCAAATCTTAGATGAATCTAATAATTCAAGTCACCTCTGGGAGCCAGTTACCAGCAGATCATAGTTGACAGGTTGGTATCATGTCAAATTCCTCCAAAAGCTCAGCAGCTATTAATAGCTAAAAGCATTTTGTAAACATTCTTTAAATATTTTGTTTAAGGAAAAAAAAGAAGATAACGGGTGAAGAGAGAATGATTTTTTAGAGAATTAGGTCAGGGAACCCCAACAAGGAAAAATCCATTGCTTTGAATCTGTGATGAAATATCCTCCATAAATTTAGATATTTGTCAAGAATGATTTATCTTACACATCAACTAGGTCTTTGGTCCATCGATTTTACAAGGCACTTTGTGTTGGACATATGGTCCTGCTTATGGAAAGTAAGGAGAATGGTAGGACCCACTGGCCCACCAACGATGCAAATTTTAACTCTAAAATACTTTAAAGAATTAAAGTAGAAGGTGTTACTTTGCACAACATAGGTGTTTACTTAAAGATATATATATGTATATTTCTCATTACTTTTTTCTTAATGGGAGTGTAGAGATCAAAGGAATTAAGGAGGAGTGGGAGAGATCTTTTTCGATGAGAGAGGGGTTTGCTTCTTTCATTCTCTGTTGCCCACATATAAATTTCTAGAGCTGTGACACCGGAGGAAGTGTCCAAGAAAGTCAACAGTTAGAATGGCAAGTAGATTTCATCTCTGATGCTAAAATATTGACAGTGGCTGCTTGAAACAATGTGTTAAGAAACACGCATGCCATGTACTTGCTGTTGCAGAACTGGGCATAGGGCTCTCCTTAACTCACATAATCCTTAAATCAAGTCAACATTTAATAACAGAAAACACCTTGTCACCTTGGTCCCACCAAGTTGGAGGAACTTTCTGAGCACTATAGTCTCACTCTTGGTCTTCCCTTCTCTCCTTTCTGCTTATATATTCCCTATTTATCAATTAAGGCTCAACCCAAACTCCAACTTCTTTAAATCCTTCCTCACGATTCCAGCCTTCACACATTATTCTCTACTCACAAACTTTATTACATATACAGTATCTGTTACATAAGTTAGACATCATATTGTTTTCTAGCAAAAGCCAAAATTTCAGTAAACCAGCAAGGATTTATATTTCTTTTGCTACACATTGCAGGGCCCAATACCCTTCTGTTAGTCACATGATATGTACTTTGTAAATGCTTGATCTTGTATTGAAAGGCTGTGAATTCCAAGCTATTGGCAAATGCTCTCAGAATTATCAAGGTCCGGTTTATCTTAATATAGTCATCCATAAAACAACTTATAGACAAGCTACAATAAAAATAGTAACATGGGCTCTCTTCTTAAAGAAGTCGATTTGTCAAAGTAAGGATAAAGCAAAGTAATCTCACTTTTAAGTTAGAACCGTATTTTCCAAATGATGTCAAAGGCTTTGTTACAGACTCATCTTTTTCTACTGCTACTTTTGGTGTCACAGAGACTTCCCAAAGCCTACTGAATGCATTCCTCATGATAAGGTTTGGTCCTGACTATCCCCTGCTGTTATTGATGGATGTAAACAAGACTTGCTTTAGGGCTCCAGTAATTTGGACATTAGGACTAAGGTGTATCTTCTCAACAGGGAGGAGGCAAGTTCTCCTTAGGACTGGAATTCGATGCACAATATGGGTAATAATATCCATCCCAGAGGGCTTCTTAAAGGCTTTGTGGTAATGGATGGTAATGGCCCTTAGTTGGGACCTGAATACCATTGGGTAGAGCATTCAAAAAATTGATAGTATTGCTATCGTTATAATCTTGATTTACTTGTCCATCTTCAAGCCCAGTATTGATGTCTTAGGAATCCAATTTTGTTCTTATCAATTTTTATTCAGGAACTTTTCTTTGTTTTTGTCATTCCCTACCCTCTACAAATCCTTCTCCCGGTAATTTGGTGCCCATCCTATCAGTTGTCCAAGGCTGAGATGGTGGAATATAATTATCATGACTGACCTTTTCCCAGTAAGTTGGTTCATATTTAACAGAGACCACTCTCAGATCATGTAAAAATTTCACATCCTTATTTTTCCTTCTTTATGGCAAGCTGCTTTGGGGTCTCTCTGTGCCTTTTAAAAACCTCGTAACTTCGAAAAAAAAACTAAAAAACAAAATCAATGTCATAAGCTGTCTGTTGCTATTCTGGTAAAAGATCAGTAAAATGAGGATAGATATTAAAATTAATAGATGAAATAAAGTAATGAGGCTTGGAAAGTATCTATTGATACCAATTATCAATATTCTTTCATGTTCTCCTCCTCACTCATTTTCCTTTTCTCATTTCCATAGACAATTGAGAAATAAAAAATGAAAAATTAGTGTTATCTAATTTGAAAAAGAAAAAGAGTTGTATTAGGGAGATATATTATGACAAGGAGTGAAAATATCCTGAAGGCATTATTTTCTCTTTCTAGAATATCATCATTTCTTATCCAGATACTCTGTCAAAAAAGACATTTTTTTTCCTTGTGCCTAACTTCTGTCTCAATCCATGTGCCACTTAAGGGTGAAGGGACATTTATACATTTATTCAAGGCCCACTTTATGTCTAATTTCAAATAGTAAGAGTAACTTTTCCTAATGCCAAATAAAGAATAGATCTTTGACCTAAAAAAAATGAAAATTTTCAATCTTGACAATTAAGTCAAATTGAGTTTTAATCCTCACGATTTATTCTTCTTTCTAAGACTTTTGTAGTCCTTGTATACTTTCCTGGATTGTCCTACTTTGTCTCTCCTTGTTCTTTTTATTTACCTAATACTTTAAGGCAGTGGTCCCTAAACTTTTTGACACCAGGGACTGGTGCTCCTATAAGAATCTAATGCCTGATGATCTGAGGTGGAGCTGAGACACTGGGGCTAGCACTGCGGGGAGCCTGCAAATACAGATGAAACTTCTCTCACTTGTCTGCCACTCACCTCCTGCTGTGTGGCCCAGTTCCCAACAGGCCATGGACCAGTACTTGTCTGCAACTCCGGGAGTTGGGGACCCTTGCACATAACATTATGAGTTTCAGTTAAATATAAGATGTACTCTTAATAAATGTTTTTTTATTATTATATTGAATTTGGCCTTCTCCAGAGAAACAAATAAGCAAACATAATTTGTAAGTTGTAATTTACTTAATCAACTTCATTGATGCTTACTTCATGATTTCTCCTTAGCTCCTTTCACCATTCAGTTGCATCCAGCAAGAATTTATCCAGCACCTACTTTATACTTCAACATATGTAAAGGAAAAGTAAAACGTAATTCTTAACTATTAGAAGCAAATAGTCTACTTGGGATTTATTTAGTTTCTACCATGCACAGAGCACTATATTAAAGTATGTTCACATATTTACAGTTATATAACAATACATAACAGAATACTAGGGTTTAAGAGAAATTACTTTGGATTCTGTTCTATCTATGTTCAATAACAGTCATCAACCACTTTGCCTGCCATGCTCAATATCCAGTTCTAATTTTCTAATTCAACTAGTTCCATTCATATCCTGTGAAAGACATAGCCCTACTTTACAGCGTAACCCTTCCTGCCCCAAAAAGAACTAGTTGGCTCAATTGCAGATACTTGATTAATAGAGGCAATCCATAGATTAGGAGGGGCCAATTATTCTCAATAAGTGATAATGAAATATATTATCTCTAAAGAACAACAATAAGAAAAGAAATATATAGTGATAATTATAAAGGCAATCGCCACATTCCCTGACTCTACAGAGGTCTGTCATGCTTTCAAAAACTTACAATTTCCAATCTGCTCTCCTTTATTCTAGTAAGTGATGCTCTTCATGAGGTAGAAATTGGCTTTACTTTCCTTTCTTACCTCAAAAGTAGAATCTCTGTGAAAGATGGGAGTGAACATTGGTTGTTTGGACTGCTTTGCATTCATTCTATTTCCTTTGGTTACTGAATATTCTTTCCCTTGGAGGAGTTAGTTACTTCTGGACACAGTCTGAGGAGCAGGCGAATGACCCAAGCTAAGCCAGTCACGTACTCCTGGAAATTTGAATACCAAACAGAGGAATGAGAGGATAAAAAAAAAAAAAGTCTCTATTTCAGCAGCAGCATCTTGACAAAATTTTCAGGTAGTTTTTGCAGCTTCACTCTAGAAATACCCCTACTAGTTTTTTGAGCCTCTAACTAATATCATCCTAATAAATTCATTTTACTACTGAAGTTCACAAGAGTCTGTTCCTATTGCTTGCAATAAAGAATGTTGTACCAGAGCAAGCTAATTCTCCATCAAGTATCTGTGCTCAAAAACTCAAAAACTGTTTCTGGGAGAATGCTTCCAGCCAGGATTCCATTTCCAAGTGCCCTGCCACCCTTGTATGTTCATGTGACTAGTTCTCATTATAGAACATAAATGTCAGTGATTTGTGTCATTTCCAGACCCAAATGGTTAAGAAGTAAGTGTGGCTTCTCCACCCTCTCTTTCATCCTGTGTAAGTAGAGTAAATGTTGACACCCAGGGAAACTTAGATGTCATATGCTGGACACAGTACATCCTCCATCAGCGTGGGTCCCTGAATAACAGTGTGGACCAGAGTACCACATCCCCTCACCCCCATGACCCTTACCTCTACCATCTCTTATACATTATAAAAAACTACCATTGCAGTTAAGCCATGGAGATTGCAAATTTTATCTAACATAGCAGCTGGCAGTACTTTAATATAAGCACAGCCAATACAAACGAAAATGTGAAAGTATTTTTATTAGCGTTTCGAAGACTCTGAAACAACTGGGGAAAGCCTATTTGGCAGGGGCAAGAGTCATCTGACACTTCTTCCAACGATCCAGCTGTCAGGATGCCAGAGACTGACCCTTTCATTCTCCCTGTCCCCACTCCTTACCATCAAAAAATGACATTTTCTCTCTCCTCAGCAAGAAGCTGCTCGATGTGTATACTGTCTAGGATGAATTAAGTTCTGAGGTCAGTGTTGCCTCATTAATGACATCATGAAGATATCTTAACACTTCTGCCTTCTTACTAGTTCTTTTGGAGCCTTCAGAGGGACTCTGAGCCAGAAGGATGCAGGTTGGACAGACCCAAACAAAAAAGCAAGCAATATGTCCTCTGAGAGAAAGAGCTTGGAAAGAGGCTGGAGAGTTGTGGTTTCTATTAGTGTGTATAATCATTCCTGCCTAAGTCTAAGAACTTTAAGATATATTCTTCAAAAGTTCTAAGTTTTCCACACATGACTACATTATTAAGTGAAATTTTACCCTCATTTTTTGCCTATAATTCTTTCAATAAAATAAATTATCATATAGTAATTTGTAGCTTTGTGGTGTGTGTGTGTGTGTGTGCGCGTGTGCACGTGCGCGTGCAAAATCAAAGTAAATAAGAAATGCTCATATAAAGACTTTTAAGTGTTGTCTGGGCACCTGGTCAGTAACTCTCCCTCAGCCTGATCCTCAGGCCCTGGACCCCACTACTTGCACATTTTGGAGGATGTCTGAAGGAAAAGTGGGTTCTGGATTAGCACAACCCAATTTGAACCATAGCTATGCCACTAGTCATACATAAATCCATAACCTCCCTGGGACTACTTCCCTAGCTGAAAAATGGAGCGGCCTCCCCCAACAGAGATTAAGAAGGAAACACCAAAATGCAGAAGTGAACATTTATACTGCTCTGGAAGTCACGGCTGTGCAGGGCTCAGAGTCAGGGTGCCCCACCTCCCCTCATCTAATGTGTCTGTGTAATCATTGCCCTAAACTTCTGTCCTTTGACCAACTTTTAGCTGAGGAAGGAGTCAAAACTGGGAGTCTGCATCTCCTAGTTTTCTCAACTATAAAGCAAGGAAAAAATATAACCCTGGCTGGTTTGTTGTGCTCACTGTATCTAAGGTACTTAGTGCAGTGCCAAGAAATATACATATATAGTACTCTCAGTACTGAAGCAATTATAAATATTCTGCTTTGCCTGAAGCCAGGCAACATCTTCATCAAGTCTTAATACAGGCGACGTCATATTTCTGACATGATTTTTCACTGTCTTATGTACTCCAGTTTCATCTGTCAACTCTAATATCTCAAAGTTTTGTGGGGTTCTTTGATAACTTAATTGTGGGGATGACTAAAACAGTTCCATTATCTTCTCTCCAGAGAGTACCCTGAAAAGTACTCTCTTGTAGGCTGAAATTAACCAAGTCAACTCTCCCATAGATTGCTGGCATAACCATTTCATGATCATAATTGGTCTCTCTCAAGAGTCATTTACCTTTACAAAATTCTTTGCAAGTATCTTTCTCTTCGGGGTATGGTAATCTATGGTAGATTTGTTATTTTGGCACTTATTTTTCCTGCTTTTTGCATAATGTAGACCTGAACTATTTACAATCAATGCTATATTTCTATATTAGGGATTTGCAAGTTTCTAGTGTGTGTGTGTGTGTGTGTGTGTGTGTGTGTGTGTGTGTGTTCCATTTCTATTAGTGAGGAAAATGGTATTTGCAAAATTCTTGTGAAGTTGGTATTTAGCATTAAGACATTTTGGGAAAGGATTATTAACAATATAAAAAAGTAAAGGTACTAACATTAACTATGTGTGATTATCTGTTTGATTTTGTATAGGTCTTAAGGTACCAGGTTCTTAAAAGAGCTTGAGAAATATTATCTGATGAAAACTTTGATGATTTTGAGGAAAATTGCACATTTTAAGAACAAGATGTAAATTCTTGTCCCCTGGATGCCATGTCTCCTTTTAAGCCACTTGTCAAGACCCATTTATAACCTTCTTAGAGAGTTCATAACTCTTTGTTCTTACTTAGAGATTTCCTACCCATTAAAGACCATAAATTAAAGCACACCAAGATAACCATTGGAGAAACATACTTCCACTATGAAAACTTCTTGGGTAATACCCAGTATACTTGTTTCCAGTTCTTATAAAGAGGTCTTTTCTTTCTCTAAAACCTCAAAGCCTCACTTCACCTAATTGGTCAGTGCACCATACATTTTTCATTTTCTAACACAAATCTCCTTTGAAGTGATAAGATTAAAAATCACATACACATTTTCTCCTTCAATCTAAAAAGTTACAGTTCTGTGTGAAATTTAATATTATATTAAGTTTTAACACAAATCATCACCAAGCTGTGAAATCAATACTTTGAAAGGGCCAAGGTTTAACCTTAAAGAATTTACTTTGAATTTAAGTTACAAACCTCAGAAGAAAAACATATTAAAAGACTGATTTAACATATATACCCTGTTTTGTCTGACCATTTGTGGCTTATCTCTATCAATAGGATGTGGAGAAGTGCCTAGAAGAAGGGAAAAAAGGAAGGAAGGAAAAGAGGAAGGGAGGAAAAGAAGGAAGGAGCAGAGGAATTGAGAGGAGGAAAGAGAAAGAAAACAGAGAAGAAAGGGAGAAAAGGGAAGGAAGGGTAAAAAGGAAGAGTAGGAGAAAAGGAAGGAGGTAAAGAGATGAAGATTATTGTCTAAATTGCCAGAAGGTTGGCTTGTTTCTTCCTTCACTCGTTTCAGTGCTGCCCAGCGCCTTGGAGCCCATAGGGTAATATTCCTCTAGGGGAAATTCCACGGCAGAGCAGTCACTTCTGAATCTCCACATTTTGGAGAAGAAGAATTGAAATTTTTTTTTTATAAGAAAATAATATATGCTGTGGGAGTCCACAAGTCTATTCTTTCCTCTACGTATATGGAATATGATTCTCCCAGCCTAAATTGGAGATTTTAGCTGCTCTGATTCAACAATATTAAATGTAAGAAACTAGCCATACTATACTCTGGAGTTGAACAGTCAATATTCTACCATTCTTGTGCTTTTGTCTACATACGCAATCTAGATTTAAATTACACTTACAGAGTAGAATTCAGTTAAACAAAATCTTCATTTGTCTGGGTTGTGATAATAATGTAATAAGCTCAATTTCCATAAACCAGGAAAAAAAAAAAAGTCTTATAACTTAATCATTCTACTACATGAAGAAATCATGGAAGTGGTTAGCTTGAATATTTTACTTTTGATCTTATAATACAGCCCTTGTAATTCTGCCTGAAGTACCTTGTTCCAAAGTGTAAACATAGTGAGGACATGTACCTTTCTTCATGTAGAAGACTAGTTGCTATGCCACTGAATTCCACTTCTCCACACCCTTAGAAGAGGGAATGGAGTCCCTGTAAACCTGCTGATATTGGTTATCAGGGTGTAGAGGGAAGAATTTGTTAAGAAGTCACTGACTTTTCTGTTTCTACTTGCCAGGCTGACTAATCCAACGAATTCCTCTCCTTCAAATGCATTCCTTGTGTTGCCTGGACTTTTAAAAGTCACTGGATATTAATATGTTTGGCTCTATTTTTCTGGCAAAATAGACTCTCTGAGCTATACTCCAGAAGAAACCTTTTTTTTCTTGCCTTCTGGCAGTCTGAGAATAGGTTAAATCAACTCATACATTTTTTAAAAGTCAATGTTCAACTAATATACTAAGATTCTGATTTTCAGAGCTGCAGCAAAAGATGTACTGATTTTTTTTAATTAAAAAAAGGTAATTTTGTTTTGCATTTTAAGCAAATTCTTTCAAAATACAGTTCAAGCAAAATTTCAGATATTCTACTTTAGCTTTCAACAATATTACTTAATAAGAAATAAAGTTTAAGAGCCTCACTGAAGCAAAGAATTAATTTTCAATGGGAAGAAAAACGTTACAGTAATCTGAAGATATACATAGATTCTGTAAACATCGATAATTGCAAATAACAAGAGCAAGTGCTATTTTAATCACTAAAAAAGGTATTCATGCAATATCTTCAAAATTAGTAACCTTTTTTCTTTTCCATCTAAAGCCTAGCATCGTGTCTACTCCTTTCCTCCTGGTGTATATTTTCTATCTGTTTTCTGGGTTATGGATGCCAATATCCTCCAAACAGAAGCAACTACATCTTCAATCTGGTCAAATATTAATAGAGCCTTGCCTCCAAGCCGGGCAGAGAATGCAGGAAGTGTGAGCCACAGTGGCTCTGGTTAG